CCCCCTCACCTCTCTACATTTACATCTTGACACGCTCACATCCGCAGATCTACCTCTCCACCTCACCACACCCACACATCTGCACATCTATATCACATCTGTACATCCACACTGTCGCTCCTTGACATCTGTCCTGTCTTTCTTTCTTTCTTTCTTTCTTTCTACATATCTTTTCTCTCGCCTTTGTGTATTTACATCTGGGCACACTCACATCCACAGATCTACCTCTCCACCTCCATACATCTACAGATCTATATCGCACCTGCACATCCACCCTGTCACTCCTTCACATCCACTCTCTCTTTCTCTCTTTCTACAGTATATATATTTTCGACAGTGCTGGACAATCACATGTCTCACTCTCGGGCCAACCATCGTCTAGTTTTTGATCAACTCCATGGGGTCTGGAAAGCGGTTGAAAGCGCCTTGTCAGATTTCCAACTCCAGCAATCTCCAGCACAACTTGACCAAAGCTGAGTTGAATTTTCTGCACAGTCTTGCCGAATGTGTGGACACCTGTTGACTGAAATGACAATATACTAAATATGTTGCGAGCTCTGATACATCTGAAAGCCTCTTGCAAGCAAATTGAATCAGTCGCGCTGTCAATTGAATCAGTCCAGCTGTCAATCGCGCATTCATATCGCCGCTGGCCGCTGCCAGTATACTTGTCTTTCGACACTGATGACGTGCCAAAAGTCCGTGTTGCATGGCCATCACCTCCTTTTCAGTTATAAACCAAGTTACACATCCAAATCCAATGTTTGGAAGTAAGCCGCTACTTTCCTTAGGACATCAAACAAAATACAAGTGCCAGTTACAAACCAAATGCACGGATTTGCTCAAGCCGAAGAGTCAAGGAAACCTTCAATAGGCAAACAATGTCAAACAATGCTATGCCATAGCCAAAGCTTCATGATGTCTTCAGCAGTGTTCCGGGGTGTTAACACAGGGTACTAGCCACAACGTATTGTCCGGAATCTGTCCAAATGCTAAATGTGTATTCTTGTGTTTTTCTTCACAGAATCCCAGCATATCTCACTCCTTGTCCGGTTCTGAGGATGAGGTCTTGCCATGTATTATCCTATTCCGCATCAACTTCTTGCAGCAATCAAGAAGTGCGTCACTCTGCACACCAAGGTGCGGATTCGATAGAATATACGACAATCGTTCTTCGGAAATGAGACCATTGCCCGAGTCATCTATCGCCTTATTGAAATGGAGTGAAATGTACCCCCATCAGGACCCTATGAGAACAGGAAGACTAGCAGCTAGTGTGCGTGTGTGTGTTCGGTACTGTATATCGAGGCATGAGCCGATTTCCTTAGCTTGCACGATGCTTTAACATGCGGATGAGTTTGGGGAGGCTTGGAAGAACTTGATAACAAAGCTTTTATACATTGTATTTATATAGACATGTCAAGCAAAGCCTCTGCATTTCCTTTGCGTTTCCACCCAAAGAGGCGACTTTCCAATTCTCCCGCATGAAATGTCTTAAGTTTAAGAAACAAAAAGACGACTTTAGCAGTTGCCTGTATATGCCTGAACATATATATATATATACGAGTGAGTGAAGAATAGCCGCAGCAAGCAACAGAGTGTCTATGACCAAACCAAGCAGCGTCTGTTGGAGCGCTCTTAACAAACAATTGCCTTCCAAATCACTACAGTACATGCTACAATGCCTCAATCATCTTGAGCTGGCCCTGTTCAGAATTGCCATAGTTGCTTTCCACTGCAAGGGTCTGCAAAGTTGATATCGCACATACATGCACATACAAGCACCCTGTCTACTGCTACTCAAAGGCACATAGCTTGCACAATGGCATCCAGCCAGCTGTACACATCTAGCATTAATTCTCTCCAGGTGGCCCTGAAAATGCCCTCTAACTTGTTGACATACTGCTCCTTCAATCCTGAAGCTGGCAAAATGAAACTCAGCTCTGCACGAGTGTGACATGCGGTGCAATAGTGGCTTGAATGTCAGAGAATTGGTGGGGGACTCTCGCAAACAGCACTGGAGCAACCCAAACTTGCTGTTTCAATGTTACAACAGGCAAAGAACAGTCGCTCTTCAGGACAACAGCCAGCATATTTCTGCGCCCTCTTTGCGCTGCGGCCAGGTGTCGCAAACGATCAATGACCAGTTGTTCCGCATCGTTTTGAGCTGCATCCAAGGTGTCCTAGCTTTTCTTGAACTCAAACTACAAACCCCACAAGCATCTCCGATCCAAAGGATGCACCACCATCAAATCGGACATCAGTTTGGCAATCATCCAAACCATCAATGCCACCATGAGCTGCAATCTCCAAACAATCATCAAGTCACAAGTCCCTTAAAATAGGATTCCAAGGGTCCTATTGGGTTGGAGGCCATCGCTAGTAGGTTGGAGGCCATCGCTATTAGAAACAAAGAAAGCACATGAAGAAAGGTCTTTAGTATAGTAGTCTTAAAGGAGGATTCCAAGTGTGTTAAAGGATTGAACCACTTCCGCACTCTTGGGACAAAACAATACGTGAGTTACGTGAGTTGTGTGATTTGGATTTTGCTTACAAATATGCTTTTGGATTGAGCCCGGGGGGTGATTGCCAAAAAGGAATCAAACTCTGAGCAACCTAAACCTTCTACAACTTTGACTGCGCACTCAGCATGCCTTCAAGAAGACGGCGCCGATGACACGTATTATAGCAAACACCACCTCAGCAATATGGTATCAATGCGCGTGTTCTCACATGTGAATCAAAATTTGAAGAACTGCTTGAGGCAAAACCAAGCTGCAATGACGATGTACGGTACAAAAAAGAGCACAAAGTAGGAACTCGCCTGCACAGGCGCCGCGTCTTTGGCAACACATTATGATTTTTGGCTGCATTATATGTATATAATTTGATCAAAACTGTCACCATCATGCAAAGGAACTGGCCATGTGTTCGAGACTACAATCCTTGAAAGGTGCAGTCAAGTAATGGAAAACCACGACAACGAAACTTGAGACACAGCGGACCTTCTCCAGTACTGGCCTTGCATGCAAAGGCCAACTACCTGGAACCAGACAATCAGCAGTCAAGAAACTAAAACAGCAGAATCATCCAACTAAACCGGGCACAAAGGGAGACCATGCAAACAAACACGGTGCAAAATGGGTTCGTGCAAATCCCAGGTCACCTGCAAATGTAATCTCAAAGAGCGTGTAAGTGGCTTGAAGCGAGGTCCCGTATCCTTAGCTGGATTCAAAAACGTCAGAACTAGTCTGGGTCCAAAGAGCCACTTTGGCTGTACAGTTGGCATGTTTGTTCTTTGCAACGCCTTTTCGGCCTCTATTTTTCAATGTCATGTTGCATGAACTGAATTGATTTGATCGAGGAGGTTGAGGTCCGGCGGGGAGCACTGCCAGCCGGAGCTGGCAGTTGAGGTCAGGCGGGAACACTGCCATCCGAAGCTAGCAGTTGAGGTCCGGGAGGGAACACTGCATGCGCGGTTGTGGTCCGGCGGGGAACACTGCCATCCGGAGCTGGCGGTTGAGGTCCGGCGGGGAAAACTGCCATCCGAAGCTGGCGGTTGAGGTCCGGCGGGGAACACTGCCATCCGGAGCTGGCAGTTGAGGTCCGGCGGGGAACACTGCCATCCGAAGCTGCCATCCGAAGCTGGTGGTTGAGGTCCAACGAAGAACACTGCCATCCGGAGCTGGTAGTTGAGGTCAGGCGGGGAACACTGCCATCCGGAGCTGGCGGTTGAGGTTCGGCAGGGAACACTGCCATCCGGAGCTGGCGGATGAGGTCAGGCGGGGAACACTGCCATCCGGAGCTGGCGGTTGAGGTATTGGCGGGGAACACTGCCATCCGGAGCTGGCGGTTGAGGTCCGGCGGGGGACCTGCACTTGTGGTTGAAGGAGGCGGAGGCGGAGGAAGAGGAGGACGAGGATGGCAGCTGAAATAAAATCTAAAGACCCTCACCTGACAGGTGGGAAACAAAAACGTTGTTAGTTGTTGGGCTTCGTGGTTTGCTCGATTCTGATTGCCTCACTATATATATATATATAGACAATGGGCTTGCAGTTAACTCAGTTCAACGAGAAACTGGTGAGGGAACGGAAAGGCGAGAAGGTCAGCTCAATTGTAGTGTTAAGAACTCTGTTTGCGCACACCTGCGGTAAGTCAGGCGGCTCACGAGCGGAAACAGCATGAAGAACCACCATGAAAACAAGGAACAGCGGGGAACAGTAGAGTGTTGTCACTTGCAGGTACACAGGGCTGATCAGGCCTTGTTTCCTACTCTCGCCCACAGCTTCGTTGCGTGTGGTAGGGCGAGAGTGCCACACGCCCCTGCACTCAACAAAAAATCTTCGGGACAGAGTGTGACACACACAGAGCGCCGATATCGGCGCTCCAGAGAAAAATACTAACCACCTAAAAAGCCTTAGAAAGAAAGGAAAAGAAAAGACAGAAAGAGAAACGCAAAGGGCAAGAGAGAAAGATAGGTGTAGTTACGAGGCCCACTAGTTGCGAAACCTTCTAGTTACTGACTACCTAGCGCTCTAGTTACTGAATACTTAACCCTTGACTTGAGGGAACGGCAAGAAGTGCTGGGTCCGATCAACAGAAGGTTTCAACAAAAACTAGTTACTGACTACTTAGCGGATCTTAATTAGGTGCACTAGTTAGCGAGCGGGACATGAGTCTTAGACCGCCCGGGTAGATAGGACTAGGACAAGAGAAACAGAAGGAAAGGCACCGACACACAAGTGTGTCGAGGGTGTGCGTGTGTGTGTGGTCATCAGTCCAACATGTAACAGTGCGTGGAAAGTTGGAAAAGTTCAACTGCATGTCACTCGAACCGTGAAAGCTCTGGAAAGAAACTCCGTAAACCCGGCGGTGTCGAATCTCCATAAACTCGGCAGTATTGTGGCAGGAAATTCATTGGGTGAAACAAAATTCATCAAACCAGAATCACGATGGCTGCACTTCGTCGAAGTCCAATGAGAGCTCAATGGACTTTCCTTTGAACTGTTGAGCTTTCATTGGACTTTCATTTGGACCTTGGAGTGTTCATTGGACTTTCCTTTGGGCTGCTGAGCTTTCATTGGACTTTCATTTGGACTTTTGAGTTTTCATTGGACTTCCCTGTGGACTGTTGAGCTTTGCTTGGACTTTTGGATGAGTAGACGAGTTTTGGGCGAGCTGCTGATTTTTTGAACGGACTTTTTGTCGAGATAATGAAAAATTAACATAATTATCTTCGAGCCTGTCTTATCAATAGTTTCCATGTCATAACACTTCGAGTCAGAAACACGGTAGTCCGGAGTGGCTTCAGCGCCTCTCCTGCGAGAGGAACACACTCTGCACCCAGTGGGACGACAGAGCGGCACACACTTAGACAATGGGCTTGCAGTTAGTTAACTCAGTTCCACGAGAAAATGGTGAGGGGACGGAAAGGCGAGAAGGTCAGCTCACTTGAAGTGTTGAAAACTCTGTTTGCGCACATCTGCGGTAAGTCAGGCGGCTCACGAGTGGCAGAACGCTGCGTAGGGAAACCTGTTTAGGGAAATAGCGTGAAGACCCACCATGAAAACAAGGAACAGCGGGGAACAGTAGAGTGTTGTCACTTGCAGGTACACAGGGCTGATCAGGCCCTGTTTCCCACTCTCGCCCACAGCTTCGTTGCGTGTGGTAGGGCGAGAGTGCCACACGCCCCTGCACTTAACAAAAGACTCTTCGGGACAGAGTGTGACACACACACACACACTTAGACTCATAGTTCAACTGAATGAGCATAAGTTTCAGAAAGTGGTTCGCTGATGCATTAGCGCTTTAGGTGACTACGTAGCACTTGACTTGCACAGCGGTATGGCGAGCAGTCAGCGCAAATGACATGTTTAACAAGGAGTGGCTCTGTGGCTCTGGATCGGAAAATTGGGGTAACAGCTTGATCAAAAGTTCAAAAACATCGCAGGTACGCAGGGATGATCAGTCCCTGCTTCCCACTCTCGCCCACAGCTTCGTTGCGTGTGGTAGGACGAGAGTGCCACACGCCCCTGCTAATTGCATCATCCAGGAAAGTGCTAAGAAGTACGTACTCCTAGAGACGGAGCTGGACACTCACTCTGACATTGGTTTTCAGTGACTCAGTTCCCACGCTGGGAAGGAAGGTGAGGGAACGGAAAGGTGCGTGAGTCAGCAAAACCGTATTGTTGAACAAAGTTTCGACAGGTGTGCGGTGGCGAGCCTCTGTACAATTCAGCTGCGTGAGAAAGTGGAAGGGTTTG